CTTTACTGAAATAACAATTAATAAAATTAGAATAATCACCTCCAATGTAATAGTTATAATAATGATAATAAAATGTGCTTTCTTATTAACATGGCAGTCTCTATAGATTGTAATGTATATTTGAAAAGCATCAAAACACTAAAAAAAAAAATACAAGGATCGTGAAGTGGAAATCCTAAAAATATGGCACATGAGGACATCAATAATTCCAATTGTAGTTGGAGCCCTCGGATTGATTGGAAATTGTCCCGATGAACTCTTTGAATGGCTTCCTGGTACGTCATGCCTTAAAGAAATTTTTAAAAAAATTGTGCTCACAAGTAGAACCCATACATTACAAAGAGCTTTATCAACGTTATCTTTTTTTTAATATAAAAATGATCAGTGGAAAAATGTCATGAAGTCATTTCTTAACTTAGGTCTCCGGTTGGGACCCGGGAGAAAATGTGTATATAACAAAAATCAATGGAAATAATGATAATAATAATAATAATAATAATAATAATAATAATAATAATTATTATTATTATTATTATTATTATTATAACTAGTTTTAACCCATAGAAATTTTACAATTTATTTTTGAAATTTCTGATTAGTCTCATGTCTTCTTAAGTTAAGGATTGAATAATCTCTTGGTGAATTCTACTATAATAAACTATCCATAGAAATTTCTCTCTCGCATTGTTAAAATTGTTAAAAATTTGAACGTAACTTTGACAAAATAGTCCAATAAGAATCATAAATATTAATGCTGGTCATTATCTTAAGAAGTAATGAGGTACAAACGAGAAGAGTTGAAAGTGACAACTTTTCCCATCTCATTGAAACAAACGTTAAACCTTTCTGCCTTCCTTTCTTTCTTTCATTTTCTGACTGAAACCAAGTAGCGTCTTCGATATGTCTTTTTTATACTCGCGCGATCAAAACGGAAAATTTCATTATTTATGAGGCATTAGCAGGATTCGTTAAGCACTTCTATATTTCTTTCTTTCTTGTTTTTTTCAATGAAACCAAGTAATGTCTGTGATATGTCTTTTGTCTTTCCACGCGATCAAAACGGAAGTTTCCATCATTTATAATATATTGGCAGGACGTAATGACCGTGCGTACTAACGAAGGGAGGGACAAGCACAGTTATATAATAACAATAACAACAACAACAATATATGCCTTAATATATATATATATATATATATATATATATATATATATATATATATATATATATATACACACACACACACACACACACGCACGCAAATACCTTTAAAATATGTAAAAAAAATGTACTCATAAGTACAGCCCACACATTACGAAGAAATTTATCGATGTAAAATGTGTGTGATCTTATGCTTTTTGTTGTTGTTTGTTTACAAAACTGATCAGTGGAAAATATCATGAAGCCATTTCTGGCCTGAGGTCACTGGTTGAGACTCGGAAGGAAATGTGTATTCAACAGAAATCCAAGGAAATAATAATAATAATAATAATAATAATAATAATAATAATAATAATAATAATTAGAAGATCTTAAGTATGATTAGATGTTGAAACATTTATCAGCGCGAAAATTTTGATCGGCGAGCCAATTTCCTATTCCAAAATGTCTGTTGTGTCGACGTCACACAAATATCCTTGAGAAAGGCACCAATCCCTCCCCACCATGTACACACAACTATGGGTTAAATAGCAGGGTAGACTGAGTTCTTATCTTGGGCGGCGGCAGATCTAAGAAAATGAAAGCTTTGAATTGCAAAACGTAAAGACAGCAACATGAATCCACTCTGCTATCTTTCCCAGGATGTCATGGCAATTCACACATATTAAAGGATGCCATGGAAAATCTATGACATAACGGGACATGGCATTCAAAATAAATCTGAAAATATAAAGATAGTTGCGTAACTCAGTTCTGTCTGTGAAGTTGTAAAACATATAAATGGCAGTTTTGTCAATTGTTTACGGAGCGCTTGGAAAGGTCCCGAAGACCCTAAGAAAATGGCTGGAAGAGTTGGAAATTAGAAGAATCGGAAGGATCCAGAAAACATAATTACTAGAAATGGCTAGACTATCGATGAGAGCGATGGAGTTTTGAGGAAACTTGCTATTACCTGTTTTTAAATATAAAACACCAGTTCATACACTTGTAACCTCTGAACAAATGAAGAGTAATAATAAACATTGAGTTTAAGACTATTATAACTGCTAATACTACGAAGAGGGGCTAAGAAGTTCTCTGCTAGACCAACATCTCAAACCTAGTATTCAAATATATGGTACTAATTTTGAGATGTTGGTCAGACCATGAACTTTTCAACATTCCTTGTTACATGCTATTACTGTACATGCCCTGATATTTGCTGTCCTGAGTAAGACGATAAAGTACGTCCAGCAAGCAAGGCCTTTGAGCAGGAGGTTTTGTGGAACGTGGAACCACCTCTTAATTGCTGGTGTTCCCATGTCCACTTGTAAGGGTTCCAGCTATGGACAAATAGTTAACTATTACCAGCAGTACGTTTTCGAAAAAAAGGTTTACCAGCAATGCAATTTTGAGGGAAAAATATTACCAGAAACAGATTTTTGACAAAACAATATATTACCAGCAATAAAAAAAAATGTTGTTGGCATTAAATAACCTATTGAGGCTGTAAAAAAAAATAAACCAAAGCAAACCAAACCAAACCTGATATTTGCTCTACTGAATTTGTTGAGCGTTAATTTGAACTTTAATAAAATAATGTTGTTGATAAGGACATTACTTAGGCACAGATGTATTTATATTGTCCAATGTCAGTGTTTTATGTTCGATTCCAGTCAAAAGCCTAACTACAATAAGCACAGACGATTTTTCATGTCAATAGAGTGATACTGTGTAGTCTTTAGCTAACAAATAACTTCCGAAAAAATTAAAAATGAATATTTTTATAAAATCTGACAAATGATAAAAGCAAAACGGAAATGTTCAAATCAACAGTGCTTTAAATAACCATAGCTGTTGCGATGTTAAATGGCAGCAAAGTAGTCAATCTGTCAATCGATGATGACGGCATTATTAAGAGAAGAAATTTATACCACATGAATAGTATGAGTTTTAAATACCGGAAAAAAATCCCAAAGAAAGAATCCGCTGATTAGACTTTTCTTTTATATCTAATATTGATTATCAACCAAGATCGATGTTCTTAACATTGGTGACTGAGGAATCATTGATAGTGATAATGATCATGTTTATAAATGCTAACGAATTGATTGTAAAAAGTTTGTTACTATGACAAAAAATAATTTCGGTAATGATGATCATAAAGACGAAGATGACAGTGCCGGAAAATAGAAAAAAAAAAAACTTATCTGGAAGAGAATAAAAGTCGATGGGAAAAGTGTTTGAAAAGTGGACACATTCAACAGAGCAAGTGGGACGTGGAAACGACACATTACTTTCTAAGTATTCTAAAACTAAATATCAATTTGCCGTCATTTTGAGATAATGATCTTGTCGAGATTCGACACTCAAAATAATATTTGCTTCTTTCTTCTTTCGCTTGTTATTTTCCAATTCTCTTGTTTGATTGTTAATGGAAAGAAACTAGTTCTTAAAATAACATAAATATATCTAGATGTGATTCTTTAATTACAAGTGCATATCTGTCTATCTGTCTATCCGTCTATCTATCTATCTAGCTCAGTTTTTCATCTATCGAGTTAACAAGCTAGCGGGCGATTGCGGTCATGCTATCAATCTGTTCATGTCTCTAGAAATCTGTTGATATCTATCTATCTATCTATCTATCTATCTATCTATCTATCTATCTCATTCTAATCTATCTATCTATCTCATTCTAATCATATCTATATATCTTTCTATCTATCTATCTATCTATCTATCTATCTATCTATCTATCTACCTATGTCTGTTTATCTGTCAAATCTTGCAATTTCCGTCTCCCGCTCTCTCCCTTTGTGTCTGTGCGTGCGTGTGTCTGTGCGGGTACGCACATGTATGTGTGCGTGTGCATGTGTCTGTGCGGGCGCGCACCTGTGCGAGCGTGAGTGCGTGCGTGCGTGTGTGTGTGTCAGCGTCATTAAGTTTGGACATATATGTGGATGTGTATCTGTGTGCGAGTGTGCGTGCGTGTCAGACTTTACGTATCTATCTATCTATCTATCTATCTATCTATCTATCTATCTCCTTGTTACACATTCACGCACAATGTTTGTCTATTTGCTTGTCATTATATCTTTCTGCCTGACCGACAATATATTCCCTCTGATATGGATATTGAAATTTAGCTCGAAAAAAATATATTGGTGTGCGTATCGTAGTTATAAACAGACGCGCATATACAATATTCATACCGTACGTATCAACCTCGTTTGTCACTGTTAAAATAGAGTCAGCTGCTTTTTGCCTATAGTTAATTAGATAGATAGATAGATAGATAGATAGATAGATAGATAGATAGATAGATGAACGGAATGAGATAGATAGATAGATAGATAGATAGATAGATAGATAGATAGATAGATAGATAGATGAACGGAATGAGATAGATAGATAGATAGATAGATAGATAGATAGATAGATGAACGGAATGAGATAGATAGATAGATAGATAGATAGATAGATAGATAGATAGATAGATAGATAGATAGATAGATAGATGTAAATAAGTCAATGTAGGTTGATTTAATATATAGGAACGGACTGAGTTAGAAACGAGCAGATGGAGAGAGAAAGAGAGTAATACAAGACGTTAACTACGAGACAGAAAAGCAGATATTGATAAAAGGAGAGTGTAAAGACAGTGTGGAATGAAGATCGAAAAATACACAACACAACAGAGACAGTAGTGCATTTCAGCTTGAGTGAATAGAAAATGAAACTGACCTCATATTAACGTAAAATACAATACACTGTAATTCACGATATTTTTCCCTTTAAGAACCACCTTCTATAATTCGACATACATAAACACAGACACAGCCATTGAAGAAATTAT